CCCAAACTTAATAAAATTTTGAATACCTATATTGATCAAAGGCAGACTCCTCATCAATAATTCGAAGCCCACTCAGAAAAATTTAACATATGAATTGATCATTACACTTCCAATTTGTGGTAACAAAGAAGGTTACCCTACTGATGAGCAGCTCAGTGATATTTAGTGGTTCGTTACATTTACCTTCCAGTAGCGAACCTGGTACCATTTTGTGTGTGGAGGAATACAGGGCTCGTTTACTCTTAATGAAAGTCTTTAGCAAAGGGGCAACCTTTTTTGGACCCCTCTCTTCACCAAGTATAAAAACAAATTCTCTAATAATTTCAGGCAAAAGGATTACTTGCAGGTTTACGAAAGATGACGTATCACAGGGAAAATTATTGTAATCAACACAATCAAAACATGGCCTTTTTTGCCTTCACCACTGTTCACTGTTGAGTGGAAGGACTGGATTGAATTCAGCTCAATTACAGTGCTAAAAAAGATTTTTTAGTGAAATTTTGTGGTGTTAGTAACACAAGTAATTTTAAATGAAGAACATTCTGAACATTCATTGAGTCTGTGATTATAGTTATGTTATTTTGTTTGTGTTGTTTTTCCTTGGTTGCACCTCCCACCATAAGTCTCACTTAAAGGGTGGTGGGATAAAATTATTTTTATATTTTGTAATCTTTGTTAAAGTTGGCTGTGAAAGTACTTGAAACGAAATAAACGTATTTGAATTTGAAATACCTACATACCTATTTGATTCTTTGTAATTACCTTTTTACTTCTCTTTTTTATAGGTACCTACTTACAAAAAAAAAAAAAAAAAAAAAAAAAAAAAAAAAACCCCTAAAAAATTTAACCTGAACTATAGGCAATGGGCTGAAGAATAGTGTTGGGACACACTTCTCTGCAGGGAAATAAAAGCCAAGAAATTTCAAAATTTTTTGAGCCAAAATAATGAAGTCTCATTAGTATCAGCGCAAGACTGAGGGGGGAGAGTATTCAGCTCAGCTCTTGAAAGTCAATAAAATGAAAGGAGCAAATAATTTAGAGGTGATTAACGATGACTCCCTCAGTAGAGTGAACATAAATACATTTCGGAACAGACAAAAACTGACAAAATAAAAAGCAAACAGACCAGCGAGAGGAACGAGACAAGATAAAAAAGAAGAAACACAAGATTTTTTTCCAGAGAGAAAAATATAATTTGAGAAAAAAAAAAGAATCTTTGCTGACGGTATTATAAACATATAAACAATTCCAAACGATGAACATGAAAATTAATGATAAAAGATTGCTTGAACAATCAGAAACCGCAAAAAGATTTTAAAAAATTAATGAAGGTCTAACAAACAGAGGCCACAAGGAATATTTTGATCTTGCCGCAGGTAAACGCAAGAGCTAACAAAAATAAAAAAAATAAACAAAGAACCAACAGAAAGGGATATACATTTTCAATAATACTGCGTTTAAACCATTGCTGATAAAGAAAGTAAAAACTTAAAAGGGGCAGATTGAGAAAGAAGACATGGGATTACGGTAAGTTCTTTTTTGTTCAATTTTATGAAGTACAGTTGCAAGAAATCTAGCTGAACAGGATTTTTCAGCTCTTGAAAATTTCACTTGCCCAGAGCATATTAACAAACGAGTTGATCGAGTTGATTCAGGTTAGCTTAAAATTCGGTTTAAAAATTAAAACAGGAAAAAAGAGACTGTCGCATTGAATATGTACAAACACGATTATTATGATTTAATTAAAAATTTTCAGCCCTAATGTACTTGACCAGATTCAGACACAAGATATATCAACTAAAATATCTTTTCGAGTAACTTATTCAAATAAGGGAATTTGACAGCTAGGCTGTTTCTACTGAAAACACCAATCTACTAGTATGAACCACGATACATGATAAAAATATACGGCAAGGTAATTACAGGGGCAATTTTTCTCAGAAGTAATCCATACTTGTCAGATACTTCCATCACAAAAGTTCGATACATTGTAAATTGGTTTGACCTGGTTGCCGAATTCCCTCAGTGTTAAGACAGGGTGCATCCAATTTCTGTCTATTAGCTGTCAACAAAAAGGTATGAGTCTGTCCATTTGCGAAGATAAGAAAAGACGGAAGAGAAGCTTACAAAAATAAAACCTAATGTAAGCAACTGGTCAGAAACTGAGACTATTGACCTTTAAAAATTGGGTTCTTCAAAGGTTTCAATCGATGTTCAGTGCGTCAGTGGGATTTCTATCTTAGATACAAAATTTGACTAAAAAAGCTACGGTGCCCAAGCTGAAAATGTTATTATAAAATTGATTGGAACAAATGATGAGATTTAATCATTCGATAGGAAAAATTTTGCGTGCAAAAGGCTTAGTAGTTAAATGATTACTCTCTTTTTAATAATATTCTAGGTTCTATGAGTCAAAAGAACAAGGTTTCTTCAACACCAAATAAATAGACAAGTTGAGAGCAAAGATCAAAAGATTTTAAGAAAAAGACAATGATAATAAGGCAAAGTAAGAAGACGATAATTAACCAATTTTGGACCAGATAAAAAAAAAATTGCAAGAAAAGTTTGTAGAGCCAGTCTCTTTAAGATGCAAAGTCTCTTTAAGATAGCTCGAAGGAAAAATTTAGCCTTGTAAGACCTACGAAACTGTATAAACACCGTTTTTTCCAAATCGAAATTATAGGCTCTAATTCCTTAAAAAGAGCTCAAATTTTTTTACACTTAGTTTAAAATAAAGATCACAGTACAGATTTAAAACGATAAAAGAAGATTGATTGATATATGAATCAAGTCAATGGACCAGCTGTTCGTTTGCAGCCCCGGCAGATTTCAGGGCGATAAAAAACCTAACAAAAATCACTTGCATTACAGTAAAAGTCACATTTTTCTTTACAGAGTATTTCTCTTTTTTATATCTATACAAACCCGACCAGGTGAACCTAAAAATTAAAATAATCACATTTCATTCCAGTAAAAGAAACTTAATTACATACGGGCAATAAAACAGAGAAACTTTCTTAACAGGCTACATTTTGAGTAAGTCTACGGGAGTATCTACATCCATTTACAAAAGTGAAGACTGAATTGAAGCTGTGAGGCTTGCTAGGAAGCAGGAAGCGGATGATCAAGGATCCAAGTCATACTCAGGGATTAACCTTCGGCCAGTTTGTCCATTGCTTGCTTGGCTGTTTCTTTAGCCTGAAAAACAGGGAAGGAAAAATTAAAACTATTTCAGAAAAAAACTGTGAGACAGTTATTCCACAGAAAAATAAATGTTTTTGAAGAAATACTGAAACAGCACAATTGAGATACGTTTCTTTGCATGTAAAATGATAAAATGAATGAAAGAGAAAGATTGATATTTAAAATTGTACACAGTGAAAATAGATCAAAGATTATAACATCTCTGCATCCCTCTTTTGGATTTCAGTTGCAACTTTAGGGAGTGTTCATAAATTACGTAACGCACTCTTACGGCATTTTTGATGTACCTGCTCCCTTCTTGTAAAGCTTTTGTGATGTAGTTCCCTATTCATTAACACATAAAAACAAAATGGCATAACACTCTACTCAAACTCCCCTCCCCCTAGAGCGATACGTAATTTATGGACGGCCTCCCTTAGTTATGAGATGATTTGATGATAAAATGAAGACTTACCTCAACAAAGGACGTATAAAATTCTGTTGCTGCTTCTTTGGTTTGGAATTTTGTCATGTATTCAAGGGTTTTGCCTTCAGCATTTGAATTTGTAGAGCCAGTCCACATGAGAGCGAGTCCTTTCCGCTGTTGGGAGATAAAATAAGAGAGATTTTAATGCGGTGAGAAAACAGGGACAAAAATATTCAAAATTTATGTCACAATAACTAGTTTTTTCTTCTTTTTCAGGCATTTCCTCAGCCAGATTCTTTAAACTCCAATCTCTCGGTCTTTCTGGAACACTTTTAAGAATCTAAAAATTCTTAGTTCTTTCAATAATAGGAGAAACTTCTACAAGATATACTTATGTTTAATTCATTAAAAATAAGATTTATTTTGATTTATCAAGGTGGCCAATAATTGTATGTGTCCATGCTTTAAAAGTACATTGGATATTGGCAAGAATGTCGACACAGCTCTTTTTTCCAAAACCCCAGGATTTTTCTTCATTCAATAAAATACTCATCGTATATTTTCCTTGATACAAATGTAGAAAAAATCACTGTCCATCTGAATTATTGCATTTTCATGCAACTTGGCTATTTTATTTAATTTCTCAACATTTATTTGGAAATTGCCAAAAGAAGCTGCAGCATCAAACTTGACCACAAATCTCTGTCTAAACATTGTTTGCATAAGCTAGAACATTGCAACAGAACACCAGAAAATCTTCTCTAAAAATTCAAGGCATGAAGTGATTGCCCTCCTGGCATTAATAAATTTAACGAATCAATTTTGAGTGATTACGAGGTCTGTCCGGAAAGTATCCGACCTTGTTGATTATCTCGCCATCAACAGTTGATAAGAGGTTGGGGCTTGGGATACTCTTTGCAGGGACTCTTCCGAATGCAGGTGCACAGTCGGATTACCACACGTTGAATCAGTCGTTGGTAGTTGGCTGATTGGTGCGTGCTATGCTGCTGTGTTCGTCGCAGTTCGTTTTTCCTAAAAAAGAGGAAGTTGACAAGAGTGGGATGGGAAGAGTTTGTGAATAAGATCATCACAGGGAGCGCGTCTTGGATCTACGGGCACGACCCTGAGACAAAAGTGCAATCGTCAGTTTGGATCGCACCTGGGAGACCTTGCCAGTAGAAAGCTCGGAAGAGTCGCAGCAACGTGAAGACAATGTTGACTGTCTTCTTTGATCATGAAGGTGTCGTCCATCATGAATACGCTCCCCAATGCTCTACTATCAATAAAGAGAGCTACCAAGAAACTTTACGTAGCTTAAGGGGCCTTGGGGAGCGAATTCATGATGGACGACACCTTCATGATCAAAGAAGACAGTCAACATTGTCTTCACGTTGCTGCGACTCTTCCTAACTTTCTACCTGCGAGGTCTGCCAGGTGCAATCCAAACTGACAATTGCACTTTTGTCTCAGGGTCATGCCCGTAGACCCAAGATGCGCTCCCTGTGATGATCTTCTTCACAAACTCTTCCCATCCCACTCTTGTCAACTTCCTCTTTTTTAGGAAAAACGAACTGCGACGAACACAGCAGCATAGCACGCACCAATCAGCCAACTACCAACGACTGATTCAACGTGTGGTAATCCGACTGTGCACCTGCACTCAGGAGAGTCCCTGCAAAGAATACTCTTTCAGGGGTGAGGGTTAGGGCTTGGGATACCCCAAGCCCCAACCTCTTATCAACTGTTGATGGCGAGATAATCAACAAGGTCGGATACTTTCCAGACAGACCTCGTATGTACTGAAAATTTTGGTACATCAGATACGGTAGCAAAGAATCAAAATTTTCAGGCCTTAAAGGTAGTAATAATTTGAGTTTTCTCATGTCCTCATTAATTCCTGCCACGGTATTTAACCCATTCCCTTAATATGACGAGCCTGACTCGTCATGGCCGCGCCGGGACAAACGTGAAATGACGAGTCCCACTCGTCATGCAACTTGGCTACGCGTATTGCCGTGTTTTGATGTTTTCACGATAGATAGCGCCACGTAAATCGACAGATGTTGTAACTAGAAGTAGTATGACCAACCTGTATTGGTTTTGTACGGTAATTTCCCCGAATATAGGGAATTTTGTTAGTTTGAAAATGTGGAAGATTGGAATAACCTCGAAACTTGCTCTCTGTTTATTTTCTTGTTATCAATGAATCACAAAAACGAGATGTAAGCTTATTTTCGCTCTTTTTTCTTATTTTGGTGCTAATTGGTGCTTAGATCTTATTTGAGCATATGTTTTAAGAGTTTTTGTGCTGCTGGTTTGCATGTTTTCTTGCCTGGTTGCAATAAATAAGATTTTTCTCCTAAATTTAACATTTTTTTTTTTTTTTCTCAGGAAATTCCCCTAACATAAGCTGACTTACTGCAGAAAAAGTGCAACATCCAGGCAAATTTATTCATATAAACATCCTTCTAGTTATAACTAATAAGAATTAGGCCAAAAACTTGCTCCTAATTATCAGGAAAAGCAGAAAACTAAGAAGAAACCAAATACAGCTTTTTACAGCAAAATTAAATAGTAGCTCTGTGCGCGGGCATGCAAAATTAATTGTTTAGGGAATGGGTTAAAAGACAAAAGAGAAAAAAAAAAAAAAAAAAAAAAAAAAAAAAAAAAACCACCTTGGCCTCAAAAATTTAAGGGACACCTTCACATTTTTGCTTGACTGTACCGCCAAGAAAAATTTCCACCTACGGATCACGCGAAAATCATGCACTGAAATTTTAATAGAATTATGTTTTTCATTATCAAGGACTTACTTCAACCACTGCGTCTGGCTCGATAGCAACACCTGTGTTTACAATCTCCGAGTCGACTGCCTTTGTAGGGTCTTCGACTGAGAGACTGACGTAAGAGTAGGGGAAGTTGCTATAGATGCATATGTCACCATCTCCTTCTTCCGCCCAACTCGACTTTTTTGACGCCCGGCTCAGAACTGCCGCTCGGCCAATGAACAGCACTTCATCCTCATCGTCATATTCTTCATCCACTGCTTCTTCGTCTTCCACTTCTTCTCCTCCATAGTCTACATCGAAGAAAGCAGAAATGCGTTTATCAATTGTAAACAAAATAAAAATGTTTAACAGATATTTCAGGATTTTCTAGTATCATTCTTGGTCTAATAAAATGGCAAACAGAGGACAAATCTCTTGGCTGTAAGTTCAGTTGATCATCATTCATCAAAAGATGATTACTGTAACATGATAAGATAGGTATTCACTAATTTTTGGAGAGTTTATTATTATTTCTAGTGAAAAAATCCTTTGATTTTTAAACATTGGAAAAACCTTCAAACATTTTCTGGTTCCTGATTTGTTCCCTAAATATTTCAAAAGGCTTGACACACAGAATCATTCTCTGTATTAAAGATAGGACTTAGATCTAAAAGATACTTTTTAGCCTTACAAATACATGATTTCACTACCTAATGGATGCCAAAAGAGTTCGATCTGAGAGGATCCACAGGAAAAAGCTCCTTTACCTTATCTTAATTTATTTACAAATCCAACAATATGAGACAACTTTCAATGCAGCATGAGAGATCACGATGAAATGACTTCATCAGGACCAAAAATTTTCCTTAAATTTGGTCATACTAAGTTCAGAAAAATTGAGGGGATTCGTCAAGCTCAAAAGACGTCGTCAAACTGGCATGCGATATAACGCATTGATTAGGTCAAAAATCTCAGCAGATTTTGAATTTTTAGCAAAAAAATTACAATAGCCCTTACGCATGAGCCTAACGAATCATTCTAAACTCAAAAATTGGCAAAATTCAGAGAAATGAAAGCAGAATAGTGTTTGGAAAAACACCTTGCATTCGATTCAGCTATCGATTTTTTAGGGCTGTGCGAGCCTGGTTTTTTGGATTCGAGCCGAGTTCGAGTATTTTATCACTAAGTCGAGCCGAGTTCGAGCTTTTTCGAGCTTTGAAAATGACCCTCGAGCCGAGTCGAGCTCGAGTCGAGTTCGAGTAATTTCGAGTTTTAAAACGTGATTTAATCTATTTTCTACAACAAATAATTTCAAACAAGACTCATAATATGATATTAATAATTATTGACAATGACACACTAGGAAGGATTTACACTAAAATTACAAAATGTTCGGCAGTAACGCGTTAAAATAACTTCCCGCGGTTTAATTTGAAAAGAGGACAAAACTGGGCAAGAAGCGGCGTGGCGCGGCGTACATCAAAGGAACTTCGGGCGGCACAAGTAAAGGCTTTAGAGCCCATTTATGCACGCAATTCGTGTCGCTGGCGGCAGTTGTCGCCGCGACGTTTTTTGGAATCGCGCGATTCCTATTTTTGTAGCCGCAGCACCTTTTTTCTGCCGCCGCGACACCGTTTTTCTGGAGCGCAAAAGGTCCAAAACACGTGCTCACTTTCAGTTTTCCAAGGGGCGGTCGCCGCCGCATGTTGAAATTTGTCGCGCGCATAAATGCGCTCATATGNGATGCCAAAAGAGTTCGATCTGAGAGGATCCACAGGAAAAAGCTCATTTACCTTATCTTAATTTATTTACAAATCCAACAATATGAGACAACTTTCAATGCAGCATGAGAGATCACGATGAAATGACTTCATCAGGACCAAAAATTTTCCTTAAATTTGGTCATACTAAGTTCAGAAATATTGAGGGGATTCGTCAAGCTCAAAAGACGTCGTCAAACTGGCATGCAATATAACGCATTGATTAGGTAAAAAATCTCAGCAGATTTTGAATTTTTAGCAAAAAAATTACAATAGCCCCTACGCATGAGCCTAACGAATCATTCTAAACTCAAAAATTGGCAAAATTCAGAGAAATGAAAGCAGAATAGTGTTTGGAAAAACACCTTGCATTCGATTCAGCTATCGATTTTTTAGGGCTGTGCGAGCCTGGTTTTTTGGATTCGAGCCGAGTTCGAGTATTTTATCACTAAGTCGAGCCGAGTTCGAGCTTTTTCGAGCTTTGAAAATGACCCTCGAGCCGAGTCGAGCTCGAGTCGAGTTCGAGTAATTTCGAGTTTTAAAACGTGATTTAATCTATTTTCTACAACAAATAATTTCAAACAAGACTCATAATATGATATTAATAATTATTGACAATGACACACTAGGAAGGATTTACACTAAAATTACAAAATGTTCGGCAGTAACGCGTTAAAATAACTTCCCGCGGTTTAATTTGAAAAGAGGACAAAACTGGGCAAGAAGCGGCGTGGCGCGGCGTACATCAAAGGAACTTCGGGCGGCACAAGTAAAGGCTTTAGAGCCCATTTATGCACGCAATTCGTGTCGCTGGCGGCAGTTGTCGCCGCGACGTTTTTTGGAATCGCGCGATTCCTATTTTTGTAGCCGCAGCACCTTTTTTCTGCCGCCGCGACACCGTTTTTCTGGAGCGCAAAAGGTCCAAAACACGTGCTCACTTTCAGTTTTCCAAGCGGCGGTCGCCGCCGCATGTTGAAATTTGTCGCGCGCATAAATGCGCTCATATGACTCCGTGTAGTTACAAACCGCGCGCGCGGCAGGAAATCGCCGGGCGGTAGCGTGTTGGCGCTGCGGATGGTAGAAATTTGCCGACGAGACTCTGATGTTATTCAATCTTAAAATGATGGCAAAACTAAAAATAGTTAAAGTATGATTGAAATGTTTCGAAGTTGGACTCTTTCGGCGTTTCCGGCTCAAAAAAACTCGAAATACTCGAAAAAACTCGTGTTGTTGACACTCGAGCCGAGTTCGAGTACTCGCTCGAACCTAACCTAACTTTCGAGCCGAGTCGAGTACTCGATACTCGGCTCGACTCGACTCGAAATTCGAGTACTCGCACAGCCCTACGATTTTTGTATTGAATGCGAGGTTTCTTTCCAAATACTATTCTGCTCTCATTTCTCTGAATTTTGCCAATTGTTGGGTTTAGAATGATTCTGATGTTCATGATTTTTGGGTTTTTAGGCTCATGCGCAAGGGCTATCCTATTTTTTTTCTAAATATTCAAAATCTGCCGAGATTTTGGACCTAATCGTCGAACATGTCACTTCAGCCTGACAAATCACCATAAGGAAAATCAGCTACAGCAGGTACCATGGCCAAAAAGCTAAACTACATATCTCCGTTAGCAACGTTGCAGACTTCCTGTCTAGTTTATTTTTTCATTGGAACACTAGTCAACCTAATTTTTTGAGAACTTCCTTGATTTTTTTTCTCTGCGAGCAGAATAATCTGTAGAAATGTCAAGCTTTAAAGTTGACTTTTTACTCTTGGAAAAAATAAACTAGGAGCAGAGATTTTGAAACACTTCAACGACATTGCTTGTGCAGATGAACCAACAGAGAGAAGGCAAAATTCAACTGTTGGGGTGTGAATTACAAAGTTTACACCTAGCGCGTAATTGCTTTTTCTGCTGGTAAAACTAAGAGTTTGATAGAATTGCAAGATGACTTTGTTTTAAATACCTTCGTATTCTTCTCCATCTCCCTCAGCACCTTCTTCTTCTTCGCCCTCAGCAACCTCGCCTTCTTCAACTTCACCTGTGGATGCGTTGAAACTACTGTTTTCTACAGTGCTATTCAGAGTCGAGTTGTTTTCTGAAAGTTGAGATGAGACAAGTGAAGTAAAGTGGATTGAAATAAGTAAAAATTAGGATAAGTTGAAAGACTTCTGGACGATATGCGCATGAAAAATGTAATGAGACGTTTGAAGAGCAAGTCATTAAGATAATAGAAATTTTATTTCGGTGAGATCATTCAATAACTGCAGAAGTCAATGGATGATTTCTGGGATTGTAGTAATTGTTGATTAAGAGATAGCTGCAGATTCAGGCAGATGCTCTTCACCCATTAGGAAAAGAGTATGTAATGTAGTCAAGGTAAGGTCAAATTTAAGATGCTCCACCCTTAACCTTTTTTGGTCAGAAACAAAATAAGTTAAATTGCGGTGATCCAAAAAAGTTTGTTCAGAAATTTTTTGTCACTAAGAAAGATTGATAGTTTCTGATTGTTACGGTGTAGTCTAGAAAATTCCACACAGATCCGAATGATAAAGCAAAATGGGACTTACTTTTAATTTCTTCAATTTCTGTGATACAATGCGTTACAGTGTCTTTGAATTGGTTGAGAATTGTTTCGTTCTTGAATTTCACAGCTAGTTGTTCTAAAACAGGTTCTTGGTAGTCGTCACCAAGGTTGTGAGCAAAGAACATGAAGGCGTTTGGAGAGAGTTGCATTGGTAGTAATTCTAAATTAGGGGTGATTCGGACATTGCATACAACTTTGTGCACCTGAAACATGATTAATATTATGATTAATTCCATAATTAAAATACTTTGTGGTGGTGCAAAAATTCAGTTGATTCCAAAAAATTAAGAGATAGAAATGCTTTCAGCCAGGATTCATTACATGAGCTTTTAATTAATTTTTTTTTTTTTTTTTTTTTTTTTTTTTTTTTNAAAAAAAAAAAAAAAAAAAAAAAAAAAAAAAAAAAAAAAAAAAAAAAAAAAAAAAAAAAAAATACAAATGGATTTGGGCTTTCTTAAATGTCATAAGACAAAAAGTGGGCTTTTAATTGGTTGAAAAGCTAGCTTACTTGATATATTAAAACTTTCCAATTTAGAAGACTGACATTCAAAAGAATGAGAAGTATTCCATTGACCCAAAATAGACGAATATTCCCGGTTGAAAAAAAAATATTTCTATGAAGGACAATTTTGTGGAGTTACCACTTGCTTCAATTTATATAGACTTTGTGTTTACTTGAGCATTATAAATTTACTACAATTTAATCAGCAAAATTTGGCAGGACCAAGTTGAAATTACAACAGTTGATGTTTTAATGTGTTATACTTTTACGAATTTGACTTTGTCAGATGCTTTGCACGCATTATGCTCAGCATTAGCAGCCATCTGGCCTCGGCAGAATGGAATTTTGTAGAAGTATAACTTTACTGTTGCTATTTTAACTGCTTCCAATAAAAGACTTGGTGCTTCATTCAGTTTTTTTCGAACCCAAATTTAATGGAAAAAAAAAATTTCAAGGATATTAAATAAAAATTAGTGAAAAAAATACCTGGTCTCTTCTGAGAAGTAATCGGTAAGTAAGATTGACAGGATCCTTCAATACTTTCATCTCTCCAGTTCCTCGCTCTTTCCATTGCTTTGAGCTAGTTTCATAGCGATAAAGTTTTGCTCTTTGAACAAACACTGCAAGCAGACAGAAATTCAGACCGTAAAGATGTGAAACATGACAAAAAATAAAAGGTGTAAATGGATAATGAAGAGAAACAAGGAATGAGTGACTGAACGCAGACACAATGGGTATAAATATTTATGGTTTGATGTTGAATTCATAAGAACATTATTCACTGACTACTACTCACAATCAGAGGTTGATGACAGGAAGAACGTAGACTAAAAAAAATAATAAAACTGATTCTCCAGCCCACCATGCAGCTGATATAAATTCTCCGACTAAAATTGGTAAGGATACAAGTTTAAATATTTATCAGAAAACGGAGTGAGTTCTGCTTTCGTTTTTTAAATTAATCTCGAAAGTTCTCGGCTTTCCTGGATATTAATGAAAGCGTAGATTGTTGAATATAACTGTATAGATTAATACACGCATGTGCAAAATAAGTAAAAGCAAGTGCATATTTCTACAGATAAATCTCTGATATCATCATTAAACAGTCATTGTAAGTTAAAGGAGGGAAAGAAATTGAAAAAGAGGAAAAAATTCCAGTGCTTTCTTCGATTTCCCCAATGCTTTTGATGAAAATAAAATTTAATTTCAAAAGAAAAATAAATGAGACATTGATGCGGAGCACATTGTGCTATCTATTATACAAAAATAAGCCAATTCCTGTTAGATTTTGATGAACCATCCAAATATTTTTCTTCTTTCCACTCAAAATTGTAAACATTTATTCTGGATTAAGTCTTTGGTTCAGTCCTTGTCTGGCTACAATTTCACTAAAATAAGGAACACAAATCAGTATGGAAAGTAACTTACATTTATCTTCTCCTTCTTCTCCCGTGCGAACCTCAATTTTATCAGGTAAAGGAACTATCGGCTCATAGTGCGGGTCATGTTCATTTTCATCATAGTGATCGTCGTCTCCTTCATTCTCAGCATTTTCTGATTGGTTGTGCGATTCATTACCTGTCGTTGACGATACAGCTCCAAAGACTGCGCTGCCTGATCCTTCGAAGGCAAACGGTTTTGACCCTGTTAATAAATAGGAGAGAAATTTCAATACCCAGACTTTGAAATTTTCTGGAAAAAGTTTAGAAAATGTACACACACAGATTTATGACGGTAAATAATTTTTTCTTGAGCCAATTAGTTTGTTGGAGTGCGCATGCCATGTGGAGGATATTTAATTGCTCTTTCCCCCTCTCCCCTAATGTTAAGGGTGGATCCCAGGAGCAAGTGCCTTTAAAGATATTTCAATACTGATTAAAAATTTAATTTTTTATTTTTTTGGTGTTTTTTCTTGTTAAAAATTTAATCGGAGATATTTCCTCATGATCAAAATTTTGAAGAATTTTTTTACACAGATATTGAATGGTCTAAGAATAAACATGAACATTATATAGATTAATCATTGAGGTTAAAAAGTATATTTTTACTGTGACTTCGGGATGACAAAAAAATACCTAGTCATCTTGCCAACTAACTCCCTTCTTGGGGAGAATTTTTCGTACTTTTTCCTTCTTGAAGGGCAACATTAATTAATACAACCTACAAGTAAATTTAACATCTCTCCTTGGGTATACTTAAACATGAAAAGACAAAATTAGAGAAAACATATTGAAAGAGAGAACTGCTAATGAACGATTAAAATCAAGCAATAGGCGAATTAGATATGAGAGAACAAACCTTTATCAGCTGCGAAAGTTGACGTATTTGCAGCTAAAGACGCAAAAGAAATGCCAGACGTTTTCAGAGTGAAATTGGGATCAGACTCACTGGTTTTAGTTTCACTATCAGGTGTAGCAACGACAGAATTTTGAGATCCGCCAAAGATAGAGCCCGATGTACTACTTTGAGATCCACCGAAAATAGAACCAGATGTGCTATTCTGAGATCCACCGAAGATAGAACCAGAAGTATTACTCTGAGTTCCACCAAAGATAGAACCGGATGAATTGTTCTGAGATCCACCAAAGATAGAGCCAGACGTATTACTCTGAGTTCCACCAAAGATAGAACCAGAGGGACTGTTCTGCGGTCCACCGAAGACAGAACCAGTTGTACTGAAAACAGAGGACTTTGACTGATCAGTTGAGCCTCCAAATAGCGAACTCTGAGTAGTCGGCGTTCCGAAAAGGGGGCTCTGGTTTGCTGAACCGAAAACGGAGCCTTTAGAGGACTGATTGCTTGATGAGCCAAAGAGCGGTTGAGCAGACGAACCAAAGACAGGCTGACCCTGCCCCAGGCCTCCAAAAATCGATTTCTGCCCCGATCCTCCGAAAATTGAAACAGGCGCATCATCTGATGGTGGAGTTTTGGGATCACCACCAAAAAGAGAGGAAGGTTTTAGTCCACCTGCGCCAGTGCCTCCGAAAATCGATGAACTCACAGGGGTAGTTCTGTTGGTGTCAGTGAATGAAGATTCGCTGAATAGTGATCCAGGATTTGACGATGGTGAATCATAACTATTTACACTAAAGTCAACCGTTTGAGATGTATTCGTGGGTGTTAGGGTTGGTTTACCAAAAATTGAGGTGCCACCCGATTTCTTTGCTGAGTCGTTTTGTGATGGGGAATAGCTTTCTTCAGAATCGTCTTTATCACAACCGATGCAGCCCGGACAAGGCGGAGCAGTTTTATATTTATAAAAACTGGCCGGCAGCTGTAAATCTTTAGCTAGTTTTTTATCCTTCTCGGATACTTCAGTGGCGTCGATTCCTCTTGATTCCCAAACAATTTCACAATAGTCATCACTAGAAGATTTGTCTTCAGCACTTGAGTCACCAGAAGCTACATCTTTCAGGGCTTTGTCAACAGCGGCCTTGAATTCTTCTGCGATCTGTTCATTTTTGAATCGGATACTAAAAACCTCAGGCTTGAGTCCGATGTTGGCGCTGCGATCAAATTCGTTGTAATCAGAGAAATCTTGAGCCGTCCATGTCCAGCTCTTCCTGTCCTTTGGCTTGATTTCAATATCAGGAGTCAAGAAGTGGTTCAGGCAAAGGACTTCAACAGGCTTGCGACGCATAACGAACCTTAATCTGCCTGTGGTCCTATGCTTAAGAAGTTTGATATCACCAGTTCCTCTTTCTTTCCATTCACTGTCTCGATACCGGTACAATTTCGCAAGATGTTGATATAGTACAATTTCATCTTCTTCACCTGTCTTTGGGATGATTTTGTCCGGTAATGGTATGACAGGCTGTAGAACAAACAAGAGAATTTCATCATAGGTTGAGAAAACTTGATAAAGAAAATAAAAAGAAGTGCAAAAACATATTCACTGGGATGAAATTACATGCCACTGATTGATATAGACCTTACATTCTACATGGAAAGTTTTGATAAGGCGATTAGTCCTTTTGGATTTCAAAATGATTTCTCAGGGTTTTTTAAAGAAAAAATGTCTGACTTTTTAAAAAAGTTCTGACGCATTTTTTTGGCATAACTTCTCTTGATAATGATTTTCATGCAACAATTTTAATGCAAAGTCTCTAGCAATAAAAAAATTTAAAATTTAAGAAATTAAACCAGCTTAGATTTTTAGTGTATTTATCGGAGAAAATAGGTACACTGTTTAAATAAAGCGTTAGGGTGCAGTAAAAAAACAATTTTTCTGCTAGAGGAGAGAATTTTACGGTTCTGCAACAAAATTTTCTGACTTTTCAAAGACTTGTCGCCTTGTTTAGATTCTCAGCAAAAACTAACAAAATTCTGGAGGTCATTTGTTAATTTGTAATAATTTGATTTTATCAATTTGCAACTTTTAAATTAAGTATATTTCAATGATAATGATTATAAAATCAAATAAAATGTAAAATTAAAAATTAAAATATCAATTTTTTCTCTTTTCCATTCATTGATTAACATTATTTATCTAGGTAGGTATTGAAAAAAGGTTATACCTAAATATATTAAATACTCACTTGGAAGTAGATATTGTCGGCTGAGTCATCAGCTTCTGAGACTTCATCGTATTCTGGCTCGCTTTCCGAGTTTCGCGTGCCTGGAGATCGTGGAGACTTATTTTGTTTCAAAGTGAAAGAGAATCCCTTGGCATTTCCAGAACCAAATTCAAAACCACTAGGTGTGCTTGCAGCATTGAAATCAAAGCCACCACCATTTGTTTTCGAGTGGTCGATTTCTTGTTTCCCTTTGGTAAGATCCAAACCATTCTGCGACTTCCCTTTGTCACCGAACGTTTCCTGTTTGCTTGTCCCATTAATACCAAAGGAGAAAGAAGCAGGCGTACTGGCCGCTGGGGTGCTTGCAGGTGCAAAAGAAAATGGTTTTGGTGTGCCGAAAGTGAAGCCACTGGTCACTGGTGCTGGGGCGGAGACAGTGGTAGATGGTGCAGAGGCTGTTGTAGTTGCGTTTGGAGGGATGCCGAAAGTGAATCCACCTGAGGCAGACGTCACGCTGACGACCGATGGAAGGCCCAGGCTGAAGGGTGAAGTGACGACAGGAACTGCTCCTTCAGGCGCATCTGGATTTCTGGCATTACACGCAACGCAGGCTACCTTGTCAGACTCATTGCGAGTGTAACAGTCTTTGCACTCCCATGAGCCAGCTTTTGGTTTGAACAGCTCAGACAGAGGAACGTCTTTCTTGCTCTTTGTATTGCCTGGAGCAGCCTTGTTGGCAGCTGCTTTAGGAGGTGTGTTTCCACTCTGATCCACAACTAGCGCTTTAGCTTTCTCAACAGCATCGTAAAATTCTTTTGCCTGAAAAAAATAAATTACATGAATTAATGATAAAACTGGGTAAGCAAGGCAACTAAGAATAAAAAGAAAGGGGAAATTAAAATGAGGGCATCCAACGATACAAATGTTTAATTTCCTTTCTGAACTCTAAGGAGGAAAATCCTTGCAACAATGAAAGATATAATATTGAGTTTCTGTAATATTGAGAGGGGAAAAAAAAAAAAAAAAAAAAAAAAAAAAAAAAAAAAAAAAAAAAAAACATTGTAAGTACCTAAACTGAGAGAAAAAAATTTCTTGATGAGGATATGCTAGTTTTGATTCATTAATTGGACGGATTTAATTGGAAACAGCATAACTACATCAAACATTGCCTAGTTTTCTTCAATGTTTTATTTTTTAAACTAAACAGGAAACTAGGCAATAATGAACCTTAAAAGCTTATGGATATATTTTATATGATACAAGGCAAATTAAGACACTTCAAAGTGATGAAAAGTTTAGTAGTCTTTAAGAGAGAGAGAGAGAGAGAGAGAAAAAAAAAACAGAAGCGAAAATTAGACAATGTGAAATGAATTTATACTGATTTCGGTAAAATCCATTCAATTATTGTTTATCAAAGCGAGTTCTTTTCTCAAACACTAAAATACTTTCAGCACTTTATCCAAAAAAAGAAGGCATAGTATTTGTAAGCTATGTGAATGTAGTAGTTGAGGATGGAAGTACTCATTCAAAAATAAAAATTAGGTACGCTGTAACAATCGAATCATCAGAAAATGATTAAAAAGTCAGTTTTAATGATTTTTTTTTCCTTTCCCCAATTGATTGTCAATTTAATGAGAAAAAGTAGAGAGGAGGTTGACTGTTGAAAGCAGAGGGCAGTGGTAAAACTTTTAAAATAAGGCCTCATAAAATCAATTGATATTTTCATCTGATTTTGCTAGAGGATGAATTGAAACTGCATCCAGCTAGGCACTATAAAAGTTACTGAAAAATATTCACTTACTCGATTAAAATAAAACTTAGTACCTATCCATAAAATATTTCCATGTAATATTTTAAAGCATGTGGGTGAATATTTTTTATAAAATTTAAACAGCTTGACAAATCTGTATGTTTCCTTCCTCCCTCTGTATATATTTTACACGCCTCACAGCTTACATACAGAATGGACTGAACTGAACATTGGAGAAATGAAAATAAAAAATCTATTAAATGGGAAAGAATTAAATCACTCACCAACTCTGAGTTTTTGAAGCGTACAGCAAAGGTTTCCAACTTCCCTTCCTGCTCAGAGAAATCATGACCGCACCAGTTCCAAGCCTTATCCGAGGAGGCCACAGGTGTCAGTTTCAGGCTGTCAGTAAGTCGTTGATTGCAACATACTTTCAGAACTTGCTCTCGCCTCATGAGCAGTCGAACATGATTGGTGACTGGGTCATGGAGAAGCTTCATCTTACCGATGCCCCGTTCCTTCCATTCTTTCAGCTCCGAGTCAAACCGCAGCAGCTTGCACCGCTCTTCGTAGAGAACCTTTAAATCTTCTTCACCTGTTTTCACCTCAACTAAGTCTGGCAGAGCAATAACTGGCTTAAATTCAGCCGTCGGCACAAAGTCTTCTGCATTGTCAACAGTAGTGTTTGGGGATTTATCGCTGGGAGAGTTGACGGACTCGAAAAGTTTCGACCCTTGACCGTCGAATCCTTTGAAAGAGTCCGATACTTTGAAAGGCGAGTCGGCGCTCTTGGCAGCAAGAGCACTGAAATCTAGAGATGTTTTCCCGAAAAGAGGAGTATCATTTTCTCCACTAGCTTTAAACGCAACGTGTTTCTGAGGGTCTGTGGTCTGACTCACTGGTGAATCTTTCAAGATGGATTTCAGCGGACTGTCAGATTTTGCAGAGGGTGTAGAGAAGCTAAACGGAGCTGTGACAGACACAGAACTCGATGTTGGTGCAGCCGCAGTAGAAACAGCAGCAGGGCCGAAAATATTCGCCTTGCTGAACATTTGGGTGAGATCAGGCGTCGTGGGTGCGACAGTAGACTTGAATGTCAAGTGAGCGAATGGGTTAGGTGGCGTTGCTGGTGCAGACGAGACTACTTCAGACTGTTTTTCCTCTGCTTCTACAGGCTTGATTATTGGTTGGGATGAGAATGTTAGTCCACCAACATTGATTTTTGAGCCACTCAAAGCTTGATCTTTAGTTACGGTTGGTTGAGCTGGCGCAGCAGGTTTGGGGGAAGTGCTTTCAGCTGACGGTAGGGCAATATGAAAACTATGTGCTGGCGGTACCTGCTTAGGGCGACCAGAATTCAAATGCTGTGGTGGTATCGTCACACTCAGAGTAGGCTGTATAGGAGGAGAGCCAGTGGGCAAAGTATCAGACTTTGTTATGACCACATTGTTGGGCAGAGCATTCTTAGAAACTGGAGGAACATAGTCAGGAATCACTGGTGCCTCTGGTGGAAGGTTCTGCGCGCCCATGCTGAGGGGCATTTTTGGGGTATTCATGAAGTCCGGTAATTTTTGCCCTTCGCTAAAAGGCAATGCAGTTGATTGAGGGAAGAAAGGAGGAATCGTTGGAGCGGCCAGAGGCTGTCCAGCCAGGGGCTGGGCGGCTAAAGGCTGAGTCAATTGTTGAGCAGTAATTGGCTGGGCTGTTGGATTGGGGAACAGAGAGTTTGGCGGTAGTCCTGCTGGGAAGTAAGGCGAAGTTAGAAGTGGAGGCATTGGTTGAGCAGGGAAATTAGTCGGTGGTAATTTCGGCTGGTACATACTCTGATGTTGGGCCATCTGCATTCCATATGCTGACGGCACTGGACTCCTATAATTAGCGTAAGAGTAGCTTAAATCGTCCACATAATCATCTAATTCTTCTTGTGGAAAGTATGTGTCATCATTTGTTGTAGAAGTATTAGGCTTCAGGTAGATTTTTGCCAGGATTTCTTCAACATTGCGGTCATTTTTCTTGGAAGTTTTCTTGATGGTGCTAATGTCAGTTTCTATCTTTTCTATCCGCTTGCATAAGCTTTCAACCAAGGACAGAGTTTTAGAATGGATTTTTGTGAGTTGCTTGAACTCGTTCCTCTCAATTGTTGAGACGTATGAGTCATTCAGAGTTGAGCGGTCTACTCCGTATTGGCGGATAGCATCGTAGGAAGTAGGAGTAAGAGGTGCCCCGATGGAATTGGATAGCTGCGCAGACTCATAAAGAGTTGAATGAGTTGGAGGTAAACTATCCCCAGCAGCTGATTCGACGGATGATAGTGATGGCGCTCGGTCATAGTCATCAGATTGAGTTGTCACTGAAAGCAGAGAAAAAATGAATTTTGAGTGAAATTAGAAGATAAAGAGGACCGGGCCCCCCTCCCAAGAAAACAGAAGAAGAAAAGGGTATTGCACATAAGAAAGAAGGCATCAAATTAAATGGTTTTTTTTATCTGAAACATTGTTCATACAATCTAAGAGAATGTTAGTGAGGCACTTTATGACCAGTTTGACTTCAAGCGTAGGGAAAAGAATTTCTTGCAGTTTTGCTGTTAAGCTTAAAACTTTGAGCACAAGGAATCCCTTTTTCGCAAAAATTTATCTCACGGCATGATGATTTTGAAATCATCCTATGCGACTGATGCACAAACAAGGAGGAAGGAGACAGAGAAAAAAACTATCTTTTTTCATGGTTCATGCAGCCTCAAGAATAAAAAAATGAAACAGTTTTCTTTAACAGAATCCTTTTTCAAAAATATTTCCTAACAGTATAAGTTTCTCCCCGTATGGAACATTCAAAACTGGATTTTTTTTATTTATTTTAAGGGTAGAGCAGGAATTTTTTTTGTTGTTAAAAATATGTCTTTCCTCATGACATATTCAACAACAATTGCTTCTTAGCTTTTTTAAAACCGCAAGGATATACTGTTGACAGAAGCAAAGGGAAAAATTCTTGCACTTTTCCAGTATCTTCCAAAAAGTCAAGCACTTTCAAGGCTTTGAAAAAAAATTAAAAATCAGGCACTTTTCAAGGCTTCAGAAACCATGTTTTCTTGTGAACTTTGTAACAAAAAAAAATGGGTAACTACTATTGATATAAAATAATAAAATAAGAGAAAAACTTACCAGATTCTGTGTCCAAACGCGCCAGTTGAGACTCAATGCTATCTAACTCTAATTTTAGCGCAGCATGCAGTGGGTGATCATAATCAGACTGAATTTTGTCACGAGTGAGAAAAAGAGCATCTCTCGCCTTTGTCAGCAAAATTATATGCTTCGATCTCATTGCTGAAGTGACCTCTTCGCTAACAGAACAGTTAATTTCATTAAAAGCAAGTTTCTTGAAAATCAGAGCTTGGTTAAAAGATGCAAACGGGCTACGCAGAGGCTTGAAAGCACTGATTGCCTTATCATATTCTTCTTTTCTCATCAGATCGCATGCAATGAAAAGCCGTCCTTCCTCCAGCAAGTTAGACACTTCTGTAGCACTGAGAGAGGTTGGATAGTTGACGGTTGGATAATTGAAGAATCTATTTCTATTCTTGGATGGAGTCATCATCGGTCGTCTCTCAGCACTCTCCAACATTTTCACAGCCTTATTCCAATACAATAATGCTCTGCTTTCGTAGGGCACAGCGTTCTCTTTAGCAGTGCATTTTGAGTGGCTCTCAAATATCCTAGCAATAGACACAACCATTTGGACGTCTAGTCCATGATTGCCCATCAAACGGACGACTTCAATGCCTTGGACGAGGACCGACCTCAGATCGTTGAAATTATCGTTTAAATTATTAGATTGCAGTTTACATATTGCTGTCCAGAATTTAGCCTGTTCCTCGCTTTGCAGAGAATTTGTAATATCTGCTGGGAGGGTGTTGGGACGGTCCTTGGTGTAAGAGCCAGATGAGATCTGATCCTCTATCAGCAGGTAATTAGACAACACAGCTATGTACAAAAACGTGTCTACATCGAGTTTACTCAGGGTTTCGATGTTGGAGGTGGATAGATTAGGGTGCGAAAAGGGGAACTTGGTCAAGGTTTGACAACTGAATTGTGGAGGAAGAATGAGTTTTGACTTGGGCGAGGTGCTAAGGAGAACTATCTGCAATCCTAACCAAATCATGTTGTGTAATGAGTCACGATTATGATTCTCGAAAGATAACAATATTGGTTTCGTTAGGATTCGGGTGAGATCAGGTATTGATGTCGGCAACTTAAGATAGGCGTTTGAGTTCTGCCAATACGATGTTCCTGCATCTTTCCGTTGAGTTTGCTTTAGGAATACTCGGTTGAAGATGTGCTCTCGGAAGTTCTTAGAATAATAGTGTAAAATTTTCCCAATGAAATCCTCTTGTCTGAAACCTTTTGCCCAGTTGAGTAAAGTGAGCGTGACTTGGACGATCCTGTAGTTGGCTTTGTCGACCATGTGTTTAAGTTTCCTTTTCTGTTTGGGATCCTGAGTGATCGGAAGATCTAGATCTGGAGGGGAGGCCAGGGCGAACAGGAGAGCAGGTGAGGCACAACGGACGGCGTCAGTCCACGATAAACTCTCCTACGAAAAAGGAAGAAAAAAACAGGTTAGTGGATGATGTGCTATGCAATGATAGGTTTCCCAAAAATTAAAAATTTTGACTTGAAAATACTTGAAATTTGAAGAGGACATTTACTTCAAACATGATATATGTAGAAAAAGACTGAGCAATAAATTGGTAAAATAGGTTTGTAAAGACAGAAAAAACCTGGAGGGCCTCTAGTCTTAGTCAATTATTGATTAAGAATATGAAGAGTTCTATGCCGAAGATAACAAACTTTTTCAATTTATCATCATTTTTCCAAAGTTAATCTTGGGTTAAGGACAAGACAATCAGAAAAAATGGTACCTTTTTGCATATAAAATCAATAGGTATAACAGTAAACCTTGCACTCTAAGGAAATCTTCAGCTTTATTTCTGGGAAAAAAACCACCATGTTAAGCTGCTAAAATCTGACTTTGAAATTGGCAATGCTTTTAAAAATACAACAGATATATTCCATTCTGCCACTGTAGTTCTAGTAACATACATTGAAAATGTACAAAAAACCAAACATAAGCTTTGAAAGTTCCTTGGGTGATAAAAGCTAAAAATTGAGAACGGATTCACTTACAGTTTTCAATGCTACTGTAAGGCATTATTTTGCCAAGAGCAATTTTGGAAGAACACAGGGGTGCAGAAAGTTCCTCGGCCTACACAATTTTGAGCAACCAGGGATTTAGCCTACACACTATTGCATTACGCGGTTGCAGTAATTTTTTTAAAATACAATGCGGTCGCAATATTTTTCTTCAAATTCAATGTTTTCGCAGTCATTTTCTCAAAAATTCAAGACTTCTACAATAACTTTCTCCGGGATTCAATAAATTATTCACAAAAAAAAAAAAAAAAAAAAGCCTACACAATTTTTCCATTTTTCCACAGCCTACACATTGGTCGAGCGGCCGATCGATCGCTGGTTCGGGAACATTCTGCACCCCTGGAAGAACATTAATACTACCAAAAATTCATATTTTGACCTAAAATTTCATTTTTGAGACATCTGCTTTTAATCTTGAGCCATTCTATATTGTAGGCATATCCACTGAAAAATGTAGCTATGACAAGGTAACAAGTATTCTTGGGTTTCAAAATTCCATGACATCAACGATTTTTTTTCTTCCATAATTTCTAATGAAAATGCTTTTCACAATACCTCTTAAATACAGAAAAAATCAAAAGTTGTGAACCATCAGGCAGGAATTCTTATTTTCATCAAAGGAACGTGTGAGTGCTGATGGAAATGATCAAGTGTTGGCTGGAAGAAAAAATCTCAGGATTCTGCAGCAAAATTTCTGGACATTTCCAGGTTTTCAACAACTTTCAAACAGCTTGTGACCCAGCTTAAAAAATTACAGGTTTGTACACTTTCAGCAAGTTTTTCGCGTAAAATTAAGAAGACGGTTCTTCAAACAACCCCTTCAGCAAAGAACTTAAAAGAGAAGGTAACTGGATGAACAAAATACCTGAGAGGCTCGCTTCAACAGAACAAGAGCAATGTGGAAACTGAGCTGAGCGCTATAGTGAGCCATAAATTCTCTATCAAACTGATCGTTAGTAACTAAAGTTTCATTGGCAGCATTCAACGTTTGGTCAAGGAGATACAGGTTGGAGATTGACTCATCAAAAGGAACATTAGCAGCAGGATGCAACGCCATGAGACAGCGGTCGTAGATTTCAATCATATTCTTAAGCATAGGTTCAGATAACCGGGACTGAGCATCTTCTCGGCAAGCCTGAAAAGATAAAAAATAAAACTGATGATGAGCTACGCCTGGGCTATTATTAGGCTATCTTGAAAACTGAATTTACTGTTTCTACTATTACAGAAAGAGATTACCCAAAGTAATGGATAAAAGGATACTTTACTGGGATCTTCAGGGAGTTTTTACTTAGGAGAGATACCAACATGATTTAAACCCGATAGAATTATATTATTCCATTCTTCAGGACCCAGTTTATGAGAAAGTATGAATCAAGAAAGAGATTTCAAGTTTAATTCCTCCGTTAGACTCAAATCAAGGACAAGGTTTAACGACTATTTTCACAGTTTAAATTTTTTTCTCAACCTTGAATTTTTGACAGGAAAAGTAGACACTAATTAATTCAGTACTCCCAACTAATTTTTATTCAGAGTGCCACTTGGTGCAAATCTGAAAAATTTGGTTCATTTGATGATCTCCAGGACTTGACACCCATATTCTCCTGCTTCAATTGAGTTTATGTTTGTTAGTTACTTGAGCCGCTACCCAAACAGGTAAACAAAAAGGCTAACTTGTTTAGAATTATTTGTCAATATACTTTCTGACGCTAACTTCCGATCAAACGAAAGCAAAAAGTTGGTTTTTCAGCACTAAAAAACAGGTTTAAGAATAGAAGTTGCTGCCAACTGAACTGATGAGAAAATGGTCAGGTTCTGACTTCATGGTCTTGACTTTGGCGCTAAAATGAAACCGGTAAAACAATGCAAATGCACTGTTTGCTCATTTTCTTGATAAAAGATGTCTGTGAGGAATTGATTACTTTTTTCGCTGATTTGCATCATTGTAGTAGGTATAACAATATCAACTACATAGATCAATCTTGACAATTGATGCTACATTGTCTGATTAGGAATCATTGACAACCATTTTACCATCAACGACAGTGATAAAATGAATGATGCAAACAATCCTCCACATTTCAAACGCTGACTTTCAGTACTGTCTGTTTTTAACACATCACTTAAATTTGTCTCTTCAGCATTCTTCAATGCCTGAATTTTGGAGGGAATACAGTATTATGGGTGCATACCATACAGATCCTGGATAAACACCTATACCACTCCAGATTAAGTCTAAAAGCTTGCTTATCTTCATATTCCATTGCTTTATTGTAGGCTTCAAGAGAACGGCCAGAGTCCAAATATAAATTCAGTAACTGGATGAGCACATTCACATCATTAGGTCGATTTCTGCTCTCGGCTGTTGGTGATAAAAAACAATCATAATTAACAAAGAAGAGACATAAATTCAATTGAAAAATAGTTATCACATGATGGTAAATAATTACCGAAATATTTGTTATCTTAAGTTGTAATGCCTTTGAAATCTTTATGACAAAAACTATGTCTGATTTCCCCTTTATAAAAAATAATAATAATTATAATAAATTCTAGAAATCAATTTCTCAGCATTCTCAACTCATATCAGACCAATTCACAAAATTAAAACGTGTAAAATGATGTAAAATTGCGATGTTCCCAAACGGTCTCCATTTCAAGCATTACGATCAATGTAGCTTAACCTTGGTGATCGGGCGAACAACTCTGCACTAGACGTCAACTTTCAACCGCGCAGTAATGAGATCCTTTGTTCAGCAGCCCGCAAGCGCCGCCGCCAATGACGAGTCAGCGCGCAATCGCAGTACCTGCCGCAGCCAATCACAAGTCACCGCGGCGCACGAGATTTGAACTTCGCCACAACAGAGCCCGCGCCATACAAATTCAGCGGTCAGTGGCAGCTTTCCCGCCCAATTCACTCTTGCTTCGCCAACCGACCAATCACAAGCAAGTTGGTTTCCCGCATTTGCACACAAAGGAAATCTGCATATAAATATACCCGCAAGTCGCTAATCAATTCACTCTGAATGCAGCAGTCGACCAAGAAGCACCTCACTCTCAAGCTCTCAACAAGGATCAAGTCAAATCAAGCCAAGCAAGCAGCTGAAGAAACATCCTAAGGAGCTCAGCAAGAAATTGGCGTTTTTTGGATCAAGACCGAAGTTCAGTTTCCCGTTATATTGGCACCAAGGTCAAGCATTAGCGGTCATCATTACACAGAACGAAGCAAATTCATCATTTCAAGCATTCAAAATTTTTCACCTTCCAGTCATCTCTATTTCGGACTCATACAGTTTGTATACCACCTCCAATTTGGAGAAGCCGATTCTTCGGAATCTGGAATAATAATAAGTGCACTAGCACATAGCTCTCAATATTCAAACCCTTCTGGTTTTCCTGCTCACTGCAGAAGCCGGTGTACTATACGCCTGGTAACCCTTCAGGTTTCCTATCCACGGATAGTAGCCGATTCACTCTGAGTCTGGTAAAAATAAAAACTCCAAGCAGGATCTCTTCCAGATCATTAAATCAATTTTGCAGTCACCTCAAATCTTTCTCTTCTCACTCTCATTTTCCGAGCCAAGGCAAACTGGGGGGTCGCTGCGGCTCTTCACTTGTCTCGCTTCAATACCTCATATCCTATTCCATCTTTTCTTTCTTTCCTATCATTTCTTCAATTGGTCCCTCGGTAAAATTCACTTTCAACCTTTAGGTCTGTTGTTGTTTTTTCATCATTTTTTTAGCCGTCACTCTTCAAACTATCAGGCAATATTTAATAACTATTTCTCCATGGAAACCATATACAGTCTAAAAATGCACAAATCCACAAGAAAAAACAAAATATAAATTGATAAGTATTTTTAGGAAAAAAGCCCATCCTAAGAATAGTTTCTGGCTTCCACTTTTGGTTCATCTCATTAACTCTTAGTTTAAAGTGTATTCTATCTTGCATTGAGATCTGCGAAAATTACATTGACCTTCACTCACTTTTTAAGGCATACTGTACTCCTATGTAGGTTTTTTTAATTTAAAAAATATCTTGCTCAGTTGAAAAACGACAAATGTACTTTTCATGATGAAAATTTGAAAAATACAGAGTTTAGATATAAAGTTACTTGGTTAAACCATAAAATCTGAAGATACGATGACGGAGCTTGATGCTTCATTGATCTTCTTACAGGCCTCCAGTTTTTAAACTGTTTACAGATCTTTTCACAGAATGCTTCTTGTTTCCTTTGTTCAAAAAGAAGAAAAAAATGCAAGCCTCAGAAGGGACGGATATCTGCAATCCCTACATATAATGCATACGCTCAGTGCCTAATGATACGATTTTTTCTGAGCTGTAAAAGTAATAATTTATTGTGAAGATAATGTTAAACATTGTTTTAAAAGAAAAAAAAAAAGCACACCAAGCCTTTCAATCCGAATAAAAAAATAGACGAAACATTTAATGGAAAACATGGTAATATACAAACTGTACAAATAACACATAAGAGCAGGAGAAAACTGTTCTAGAGGGGCTGGGGAACAATCGCCCCCTGTACTCAGTTCCAAATGGCCCTGCAGGGTCCTATTTAACATAATTTAGAGACCCCATATGGCACTATTGCTGAATCTCTCTAAGCCTTTTGTAACCTCATATTTATAAGCTTTCTCCGCTTGTATCAGGCAGCGCCTTCAATTTTCTGTTCAGAGAGAACCCATCTTGAAAAATTTGGAGCCAGACCATCCCTGGTCAAGGGTTCACTTTATGTTAAAACAAGTTTCAAGGGATCCTCGTTGATCACGATTCTGCTATAAAATTTTTTTTTTAACAAGTTGGAGAAATGGTGCTGGGTCCACACCATTCCGTGGGGAAAACAAAGCCAAGAAGTTCCAAAAATTATAATTAGAGTCAAAATTAAATTTTTTGAACTCTAATGCGTACTTACCAGTGCAAAACTGAGGGGAGAGAGTGTTCAGCTCAGGCAGTTTGCATTGGAATATCAAGTGAGAGTCACGCCAAGAGATCTATTACGGTTTGGGCCTTTCCAGACCTCATCAGCAGATCACACTCGGCAGTGACAATTTTGACTCCAATTGTAATTTTTGGAACTTCTTGGCTTTGTTTTCCCCGCGAAATGGTGTGGACCTAGCACCATTTCTCCACCTAGTTACATACAGCTCGGGCCACTTCGTATTGTTTTTTTTCATTACAAATTTTTTTACATGTATAGTATTCTCTACTTGCACTACAAGAGCTAACAGAGCTCGGCCTTTCAGCCACTTCCATTCCTTGAAAAGTTAATTTTCCTAATTTAAAACCATGCACATTTAACCATTTTATTTTTGTTTTAGGTTTGTTTGGGTTTTGTGATTTTCCGCTAGAAAAGACAGATCATACTTACATAAATAGAAATTTTCTAGGGCTTTAGGATCCGTGTCTTCAGTAATAATAATCTTTTGTCTGAGTCTAGAGATGATCGGATTGTTCGGAAAATGCTCAGCACCTTTTTCACACCAGTAGCGAGCTCTTCCAACATTCAAATTTGATAAACTAAGTTGACTCATCAAGTCGCACACTGGAAAAGAGAACATGGAAAATAGGTGTGAGAAACTTAAAAAGTAACGAAAGATCGAGTTCCAAGAGACTCACTGGATATCTAAAACAAGAACCCTGGCCTCATTTTTTCGAAATTTAGGTCAACTGACATGAGCATGTGTATTGCATGTTTCTGTGAAAATTGTAATGGAATATGTAAGTGTAGCATACTTAAAACGACAGTGAAATTTTTGTGCCTCCTGGCAAAATTGCGGCAATTTGTGAAAAAAAAGGGCATAACTTGGAAAATTTTTGAGAAAAGGATTTATAAAGTGGGCAAGTTAAGAATTTACAGCACCCCTGGAATAAACTAATCTGCTAAAATCTGTCTCGAAGTGTTCCTTACCTTACGTACTCACTTACTTGTGTGTTCATTAAAAAAAAGAGAAAATGTTTGAGCTTAGATTACTTAGTACATTGTACGCATTTTCTCTGCTAAATGCTGGCTGGTTGCCACTCAGATTTGAAGATCTTTAATGCAGGACATAGGAGCTACATAGTTTTAGGCCCTGAGAGATGTAAAAGCAGGTCTATAGTTCCACGTATTTCACTGACAGCGTGGGTAAGTAAGTAGGTACTGCTAATGAGTAAAAACATGCTTAATATACAGAAAAAGATGCTTACTTTTAAGAATAAGTCCTGGCTGGTTTGGATCGAGTTCCAGAGACCGTTTGTATTCAGCGATAGCTCTATCGATCTCACCGAGCTTTTCATGGCAGTCACCCAGTAACTGATGGGCGTTGTCGTTATTTTCTTGGACTGATAAGTACATGAGAGCATGGCGTTTTGCAGCACCATAAGCTCCGACTTTGTAATAAAGTTTGGCAATGTTGTAACATTTCAAGTGCCGCTGAAAATTAGAGGAAATAAACAAATGAATTGTCCATTCTATTGGACAGCTAGGTCAATGATTCTAAATTTTCCTGTAAAGAACCTCCATGGCAAAGTGAGGAATTGATGTACCAAAATACATGAGATTGTGCATAGAGCTTAAAAGGACTTAAAAACTGTCTAGTTTTAGGCTAAAGCATGGCCATTGGATACTTCCAAAGGTATTATGTTAAATGCTGACAGACAGAACGCTGCCAACTTGCACTTCAAGAGCCAGTACTAGTGCTGGTGCACTCTAAATTTCCATGCTTGCCTACCTCCTTGCTTCAACAAGCAGCAAGCAGGAATGAAATAAAATACATAGTCTCCTTTGATGTAGCATTTGCGCCCATAAGTGCAACCTGTTTAGGTTAAGTTTACTAGCAGCTTAAACACAATATACTGTTCCAAACCATTACATGGTATCTCTAGCAAGGGAGGAGGAAAGTATAAATCATCATCCGAAGGGTAGTGTTTTGAAATTTAATCATGACAGAGATGCAGAAAATAGCTAATCTACAGTCCTTCTAGGAAATGTAAACATGAGATCATATTACACATTCCTCGCACCAAGAAGTTTTAGTCGGAGCACCCGCTATTTTATCAGACAAACTTCCTGATAATGTAGAGCAATGCAAACTACATTAAAAGCTGTTTGAGGAACTTGAAAGGTCTCGCTTTAGTAATCTCTGGACCAAACTGTAGATCAATGAGATAGTGACACGGACCTAAGAATGTTGATACTCAGGAAGCATCCCAAGCTGTAATTCTACCTCCCATCTGTAATGGTGAACCTCAAATCTTTCTTGGCATCTGAAGCTGCACTAACTTCCCTGGTAGATTTTAAGACACGCAATACTGCGTTGACAGCCCAGAACAGGGGACCCTGCATTATCACCCTGGAGAGTGAAGACATTGCTCTCGCAGACAAAAATTTCTGCGCAGATAACTGATCGTTTCAATGATATATGGTTGGGTAAAGGTTTTGAGTATTCTCGGAGGGTTTCTCCTCATGTTGCAACTGCGATAAATGCTTCGAGCTGATGGCCTTGGTGGCACTAAGCTTCTCCGCCACCGATGAGATAGGATAGTGGAAAGTACAGTTCAGGAAAGGACTAAAGTGAGTTGACGGATTAAAATGATTGAAATGTGAGTGAGCGAGAAGTAAAACAAACCTCATGGGCTGATTTAATTTTGCGAAACAGCTCCTGCACATGGCGGTCAACGTCGGTCTTGGTCCTGTGCATGTCGAGCGATACGAATTAAGCAGGATAACGAGGACCCTGCTTAATCAAAACACACGCGAAAGTAACTGCAAGCGAATAATTAGCACTCAGCCGCACAATTTCAAGGTTTTGGATGTCAAGGCGACGAAATATTCACGGACTTTTTGAAGGATTTTCAATGCGATGGCTGTTTTTCGTTTTTCTTGCCGGTAGGAACAGGATCAACAATCAGCGGTCGTCCTGCATCGGTAATCGGTCGAAGCTCCACCATTCATCACCCGCCAAAATTGTCGAGATATGCGCGGGAATATTTAAATTAAGGCGGGAATGTTTAAATTGACGCACCTTGTTCCGGCTGCGCGTTTTTCTTTAAACCCCATTCAGAATAGTATTTTCTTTGAATTTTCACTCAGGGATTATTTATTATTATTTTGCAAGTTTTTTTCTCAATTAATAAGTAATTTGACAATATGGGTCAGTTATAACGAGCAAATATTTGAAATTTCGAGCTTTTTCCGTTGCCACTTCATTTTTACATTATCTTCTCCCCTACATTTTTAATCTTGCATATAATTATTTATATTAATTATATATGAACGTAATCATTCTAAATTGCTAGTATTGTAATAATGTTCACTATTTTAGTACTTAATATATTACTGGACATAGTAAGTACTGGTTCGTCGTTGATACCTAATGTTAAAAGAAGAAAGGTCGAAAAAACTTTTATTTTATGTATCTATATGAATTTATTTTTTTAGGAACATTTTAAAATTGATGACTAATTTTTCTTTCTGTATTCGTTTGCTCGCGATACATTTCAAAGGTATAATTTATTCAGTAATTTTTTCGTTTTCCTGAGAAACTATCAAAGGTATAGTGACTCTACATTATTATGGAATAACCGTAAAAATATCTATCAGCTTTTTAAAGAATGCACTGGTTTTTTTATGTCTCACGTACGAATATTATTTTAGAAATAAATTTTTTTGGACTCAAAAATAGCATGCCCACAAGATTCGAAGAAGACAAGAAATATGATAATAGACAAACTCGTGCCGTGTGATACATCGATTTTCGATGCCTTATTTTGATGACGTAAATTCCAAGGAATTGCTTCAAAACTGCCGTAAGTTTCGTTTAATATGCCGTTTAATTCTATGGAAACTGATCGATGAACAAGGCGGTCGCAACGCACATCTTAATAATTGATTATTTACCATAGCTGAAAATTGGAAAATATCGATAATCGATCATTCACGCTTCGCCATCGAATGCCGAGCCCCCGGGTCCAGCTGCAAAGCTTTACGGGGTGCAGATAATGCCGAAAAATGTTTTAAAATGACACATAAAAAATGGGATCTCAACATTTTCATAAATACAGAAACATTTTCCACACTAAATACGTTCGGTACTCGCTAAAACAAAATGCACTCCATACTTGGGATTGTGACAACTATAATGATAAAAATTAGCACCTCTCCACTTTTTTTCATTTATTTTTTAATTACACTAAATTTTTAGTTACAAAGCTTTGTTATCAATTTTATTCATTAATGTTTTCTAGTTTCTTTTTGTTGTGATTATTCAAACTATATACAGTCGCCGTAATCTAGACATTTTTATTCAGTTCGTGCAAATTTCTCGAATACGCCGTAAATTGTGACACCAATGGATGGATAGGAGGGTGGAATGTGTTTCTGAGCTCCATAAAGGGACCTCGCCTGGAGGGCAGCAAAAAATCAGGAGCACTGAAAATGAGCTCCATAAGTTGTGACAACCCCGGAGTTGTCACATGGCGTGATATGCTAATCTCAAACCGCCACAACAAGCAAAAACAGCGTAATGCGGGCAAAAACCGCACTCAAATACGCGTTTTTCACCCGGCACGGAAGTATCGGCAACCAGGGGCGTCAATTGATGAAAAGTTGCGAATAGAACGCCCGCAGCGGAAATAACAATTTAAATCCGGACCGCGTAGCGCTCCCACTTTTGGGCAATCCAGTTGCGACTCATTGACGCCTTCAAATTCGCTTCGCGCCACCCGCGCTACACCAGACGCCCGTACGGCCGGCGCGGCGGGAGGGGATTTACGATAGACAGACTTTCTCAGCGACGACGCTTGTTAAGTGCCTTTGCCGTTTTTCGGGATTACGTTTGCTTGATCCAGCAGATTGTACTTACAGATTCGAACTGTCCACGTGTGTCCTTGCTCCAGAGAGAAATGACTTTTGAAATTGAAAGGAATGACCGACAGATTACTCAACGATTTGTAAAATTCGTTTGAAGGTGAAGAATTTTTGAAAGCCAATTCCTGTAAAAAATAAATAAAATATATATTTAAGTAACTTTAGCCCAACGCTGGCACAAAATCCTTCATTTATTGACTTAATTAATATTCTGTCATCACTGAGCCGGCGCTAAAAGGTCGACATCAATCGCTATTTGTGGACGACTTTAACCGTTCATCGGGTGTTTCGTCTGCATTTTTGCAGGTCAGATCAATTTGTCGTGAAAGGCATTTTTGTATCATATTGATTTAGTATTTTTGTAATATTGTTTTATGTTCATGATAATTCAAAATTTGAAAAGAACCCCATTTTTTGAAATGTTAATATCCAAGTACTGACCTTAACTTGAAAAAAAAACCATTGAATAACTTATTAGAAACTATTTGATCTGAAAATAAGTATACACTAATCCTAAAAAATATTATACTAAAAGAGGTTTCAAACTTGCTTAGGACTTATTGTTAGACGTTAGATATTTGAAAATATTGAATTTAAAATCCCACAAGATTAAAATTCAGCTCACTGGCAAGGACAGAGCTTGTGAACTTACTAGTATGTAAATACAACTGGAACGTTAGGAGTGAAACATATCAATTCCGCATTTCTGATGCAAGAGTCAATTTTTGACGTCGAATGTTTCATTCTCGGAAGGCTTTCTTAGATATGAAGCGAAAAAGTCTACCGATGTGTTTGAAATTATTTAAAACATTGAGCCTCCCGAAAAAATCGACTAGAAGCTCAGTGACAAAGGCGAGAAAACTGAGGAATAGACCAACGAATAGGATTAAGAAAGCCAGTCGTAAATCCTTGAGATCGTAGGGCCTCGGTTCTCCATCTTCGATTAAGTTTGCGACGGTTTTATTGAATTCATCCCTTATGATGGCCTTGAGGCATGCCTCTGCGTGTCCGGTCTCCAAAGAGCGGGCAAGTATGGAATTAACTTTCTCGAAAAGGTAGGAATCCTTATAAATGGGGAACAAAACCGGATATGTAAAGAGACATTCCTGGATGAGGTGGTACTCAACTACTGGTGATCGTGGTCCGAACACCAACGGGAGTCCCAGAGTGACGTCGCGCGTATTGGATCTGATGATTTGAGGAACGCTCTCCAAAAACGCATCCGTTTCCATAATATTGCGCACATTCGTCGTAAATTCCCGTACATATTCATCCTCAGACTCGACGGTCCAATTCCATCCGTCATCATGTATGTTCCACATAAAGCCGAATAAATCGGAGTTTTGCTCCATTTCTAAGGCGGCAGAGCCCAACAGGGACTGAAAACTGCGAGTGAATTTAGCCGCCAATCTTGCGTTTTCCTCCTCTCGCAGAAGAAAATCCCCGGACGCGTTCGGGTCCGACATCTGGAGGAGGATATCGGACGCCTTGAATTCTTCCAACGTTTCCATCTCCGGGTATCGCATTTGCGAGGTCAACAAAGTCGTCATGCCGTCCAAGAAAACGGTGGAGATTATGAGGGCGGAAAAGCTGAAAACGGTGAAAATTATTTTCCCAGTGTAAAAGCGCCCGAGGAGTAAGCAAGGAGGGCTTCCGCAAATGAAGTAGGAATAGACGGTAAGCAATGATGAGGTTCCTCCGTACAAACGGATTTTTGTCTCCAAATAGAAGCGCTGGAATATCGTTCGTTGTGAATATTGATAGGTGTACTGCGTCAGGATGAAGATTGCAATCGTGGTGAGAATGAAAATCCACACTTTGGGAGAGAAGGCTTTGAGAATCACCAAATATTGCGGTATGAGCTCGCTGTGCGGCGTTATGATGCAGAGTGCGGCTGTTTCCAGGCCGACGGAGTAATCGAATTCGCTGAGATCGATGTCGCTGAAAATTTTTGCAAAATTTATAATTTGCAAGGGGGCCCCTAATTTTTGCCCGATATCGAACTCGAATATTTCGTAATTAGGATCGAGAAAAGTATATTCCCTTGAATTTCTACCTTCGAAAGTGCAGTTAATAGATTTTTCAACATATTGAAGAGTATCGTAAAGAAACAGTAACCAATAGTTCCACACTTTCAGATTCTCGATCCCAGGCCGACGTCCATCGACGTCAATAAGGAAGCCGACTGTTTTATTGCGCATGTCTTTCCAAGAAAAGTCGAAATATGATTCAGTGTGCTTTCCCTCATATGCAATAATACGCTCAAGGAATGGGTCGTACCTCTCACATCTTGCAAATATATCGTAACAAATCACAAGTCTCAATCCATTAAAGAAACGCCAAAAAAATTTGAAGAAAAAGACATCGATTCCCATTCTGTGATTGTTTATTGTCACATTGTTACATCCTCCAAAATTTTGAGACCGCTTTGCAGAAATTTTGTTAAAATTGCAGTTTTCCTGACTTACCTTTTTGAGCATGAAAATAAGGTAGTTGTTTGAGTTCCAGATTCTGTTGCCGTGCAAGCTGCGTGTCATCTTGAATGTTGAGTCTGACAACATCGAGGAGTCTTGAAGTTCGTCTGAAGTTACGTTTAGTGTCTCATCACAAGTGTAATCAGGTTTTGGCTGTAATAAAACACCATCAAAGCGTATGCAGTAACTAAACAAATTCCGGACGGTAGCACGGTCGTAATCTTTAGCACAGTCCATACATTTAGAAACATTCGAAACTTCGCTGAGAATTAGCTCTTTAGGAACAGTATTATATTTCCTTGGTTTGGCGCCGGAATTCATCATCAAATTTAAAACTTCACCGATGTGATCCACGAAGAAGATCACATTTTTCGCTCGACTTGTTACCGACAAATGCTTCAACTCTCTTGAGTGAGTTATCAGAACAGTTTGGATAGAAGACTCGTGAAGCAGTTGAATTAGTCCGGGAACCGACGGGCCAAAGTTGAAGTCCGCGACGTGAAATAGAGGTTGCGCCGACTTCAGAACCGTATTGTAGCACACACTAA